GGGGGGGGGGGGGGGGCTGAAATTGATATTCAAATTGATGACGAATAGCAAGGAATGTTGCTCTTCTCAAGGGAACCATTCATGGTGTCTGAAATAAGAAATGCTTCCCTATCAGGTGGGATTGACGAAAATGCCAGCGGGATCAGCAGCTTCTAGGTTTCGTGCGCAAACCCTTTTTGGACAACTTTCCCAACCAGGTTCTACAAGACCCTTCCCTAACACTTGTACCCTGTCTTAGGGCGTCTAACACCACATTGGTAGTAATGTGGTGACACCAATGTTAAGAAGTCTGTATATTCAATGGATTCACTGTATAAAATCACGTACATATAATTATCACTGTTATCAATGAATTGTGAATTCGAATGAGAAAATGATACAAGGATCTTCAGTACTTGACAGCAGGATAATTCAAATTTTCAAGAGTAAGATTACTGTACAATGCTTGGAAAATGAAGATTCATTACATAAAAGAGTGTGATCATGCTATTCTTTTCGTCTCTTGACGGAGTAGAGACCTGACATAAGTAGATTCTTTCTCCTGTTGAATTTCTGTTAAAAGGTGATATACATGTATTTCATCAAAATGCTTGACTTACCAAACTAGATTACATATCCCTACAGTTACGAGGATGGATCCATTGCTTGGTGGGATTTGCGTAATCCGGGTGTCCCCTTGACTTCAGTCAAGTTCCATTCAGAACCAGGCATATCATTCTACCATGCATAAAGTGCTTTATAATACACCTTTTCTAGTTCTGTTTTCGTTCTTAAAGCAGGCATGAAAGACATGTTGTCTTCTCTATACAGTTTTAAGCTTATGCATAGATGGATCATGCAAAGGTGGTCTCTCTGGAGCTGCTGATGAGAAAATTTTGATGTTTGCATTGGACCATTCTATGGTAACTCCAACTTTTTCTCTAGTTGCAAGATATGCTATTGTTGGATGGTGCTGTTGATGTGCATGTATTTTTCACATAAACTCTTCTCTTATAGCAAAAAAATGTTACTAAGTGTCTTATTTGAAACTGATTTTCGAATGTGCATGCCTTAATGCCGCGAGGACAATTTGGTTCTGATGTTTGAACCTCATTATCCACATGCATTGATAAGTTGGTCAATTGTCTGGAGCTGGTCACCTTTTGTGATATTGTGTTAGATCTGTGAATATTTATAGTTTTCCTGTTGCAGCATATACTATCAACCCAAGGAAAAATATCGTCCACACTAAGTAAACATATTTCTGCAGTTTGCAGCAGCTGCAGTAGTTATTAGTTATGGACCTTGCAAATGGTGGCTTCATTTGTACAAAGCTTTCTTTTGTATTTGCAGGTTTATTATCTGCTGATTGTAATTTTTCTACTTTTTAGGGTTCTTGTTTCATCAGAAAAGAAATTGTTTTGGAGAGACCTGGAATAGCTGGAACCTCAATCCGGTCAGACGGGAAAATTGCTGCAACTGCTGGTTGGGATCACCGGTAGGGATCTCAGATATTTTCAAACTGTCAATTCATGTACATTGTGGCTGGTTAGGGTGTTGTTGCAGGCCCTTCTGTAAATGAAAGAACATTTATTATAAGCATATGTGTATGGTATTCTGTCGATGAAAGAACATGATATGATCATTCTATTAACGTTAATGCAGAAGGAAACATGAATCTAGTGTTTTCATTGTGATCTTGTTTATAAGGTCAGACAGTGTTAAATATTTGATGTACTCTCCTTGAAACATCACATATTTTTTCAAAGTTGAAAATTCACATATTTGATCTTCTATGGAAGTATAGATGTCTTTGATGCAGTTCATCAATTCCTTTGAGATAGCTGGTTGTTAAACTCTAGTAATTGTCGCTATGTGAGTTCAAGCATTGTGTTTAAGTATGTAGGTCATGTTCTAAGTATCACTCTAACATTAGCTGATCTTATCTTTTATTGTCAGGGTTAGGATTTACAATTATCGCAAAGGAAAACCTTTGGCTATTTTGAAATATCATAACGCCACGGTATGCAATCCCCTTCTCTTTCTGTTAGAGTATTTTTCTCCTTAAAACAATTATCAAACTGACTTCATTCCATTTTTTGTCTCTCCCTCCCTTGGATTCCTGGATATATCCACGTATTTTCTCTATGACACTCCTGCACAATATGTTTTGCAGTGCAACACTGTTTCATTCTCTGCTGACAATAAATTATTGGCCTCTGCATCTGAAGACACGACAGTGGCTCTATGGGAACTTTATCCTCCTAGAACATGATGTCGTATACATTCTTAATCCTCTTCTAAATTAGTTCTTTAGACAACGATGAACCTCTATACAAAGAGTGATTTGTGGGTTATGATGGACCTCTATAAACAGCTCTTGTGGTGTTCACTTGTCTCGAGCGTGGAGTTTGTATGAAATCAAATCCTATTGCACAAAATTCCACGGGTTATCTTTCAATATCATGCCATTCTTTCTACAGAAAAAAGGAATCAGGGTTAATGTACTAAGTTCGGCGAAAAGCGGGGGCTCAAGCTATTTTTGGGACACATGTACTCTTGTCGCATCTGGAGGTGTAGATAGTAAGGGGAATCGCATTTCAAGTTGCAAGAAGAAACATAGTTGTGAAATTATTTAAGAAACTCTATATTTTTTGCTTTTAAATAAAAGAATTATTTGATCAAGCTTTTAGTAATATGAGTTTTTCGATTTTATCTCATATGAAAATCTATAAGAATCATCTTGTCGATGATTTGATGTTAGCATATTATCTATAACTGCCTCTAGTATTACACCCAGTGGCGAAGCTAGGAATTTTCCCAAGGTATTCAAACTTAAAAGAAGTGAAAAAAGTTTCCCCAACAAAGGGTGTTGTATATATGTTATATACCTCAAACTTAATAGTTTATTTAACATATACAGTGTAATTTTTCGACGAAGGGTAGTTAATTGACCACCCTCAGGGTAATGTAGCTTCGCCCTCAACTAGGGCTGTGCATGGATCGGATCGGATTTAGCACATTTCGAATTCGAATTTTGGATTCTAGAAAATGCAATCCGAATCCGATCCGAATTATATCGAATTGGATCGGATTTTAATGTTTGAATCGGATCGGATTTCGGATCGTATTATGCCTCAAGTGGCAAACTAATATGTATATTTTCTTTGTAAAAGAGGCAATACATTAAGAAAAATTCATGTTTAT